TCCTCCTTTTCCAGCCACTTCCTTTCACTGGAAAGAATGGACTTTTCCTCTCGCTACTTACCGATGATGGGGCCCTCCCATATGCAAAACTCTCTAATCAAATCCTCTAGGCCCGGTGATTAGCATCCTAAAGGGGACCATAAAGGAGGTTAGAAAGTTTAGTTTCTTCTTTGACAAAGCCTGGCTCAGAAGTTAGAGCCGGAAAAGCCTGTCTTCCTGGAGGAAGTGATTGGAAGCTGGTGGATGGGGTGGGAGGGAGGCTCAGGATTCACTATTTACCCTTTGCTGTCTTTTTAACGCTGGTACCAGGTGCAGTGGGGACATGCAGCCGGTCTGCACAAACACTGCTCTGCTAGTCCTTTTCTCCTTTGTCCCTCTGGACTGGCCAATCGTTTGTCCCAAATGACCACGTGTTCATTTGATTCCAGGTGTTAAATGTTTTCAACGTTACTCTTGACCATCACAAAAATAAACCTATTCAGAGAAGGCATATCATTTAATTGTCCAAGCCTATTTTGGAAACCTTTACTAATTCTTTTCATTCCTGTCGAAGCAATACTAATTCCTTCTGTTCCCCACCTCACCGTATTGCCTTGTACCCCGAATCTTCCAAAGGACGCCTCAAGAAGTGGAATTATGGAGTCATTTATTAAAGGCCGGCGGCATACGAGGGGCAGAAGCTCCAGATCTCACAGCCCCAAAAAGCTCGCCACATCTGGCTCATATGCAGACTATCACAAAGGTTTCGATTACATCTTTGGGCGTGGAATGAGGAACCTGGTTTGCAAGGAGCCGTACAGAAGCGAAATTGAGCAAGTCAGTTTTCTATATTTCTTGGGTCTCTGGGTCACTGAATTAACAGAAGCACGTCATCTGGGGCCACCGAGGCAGTTTAGAAGAATTGTGCTGTCCAGGTTCCGGGACCACTGAGTCACCCAGAACGCATTATCTGTAGCCACTGAGGCAATTTAGGGTAATTGCGCTGTCCTGGTCCCAGAAGAATGTGCTTTGATAACCAGTGAAATCACCATGCATGGGATATTCAACCCACCATCCATGGAGTATTCAATCTATTGGGATAGCATCTGTAAGTTCAGAAAAATCAAAATAACTGTCCTATTGCTTTAGCAAGCAAATGAGTACAGAAGCCAAACAGCAGGGTTAAAATGTTAAACAGCAATTTTTAGCCAAGCTTGGTTCCCACTGCACCCAACACAGACACAGACGGTGGACGTCCCAGGCCGAGGAGGAGGGAGGGACGAAGGAAGCAGCCAGGGTGTTTCCCCCTCTGACACTGGGACGCAGAGCACTAACTACATACCGGCTCAGGTGGCTCAGCTGGTTAGGGCATCATCCCGATAGGCCAAGGTTTCAGACTCCATCTCTGGTCCGGACGTCCATGAATCAACCAATGAGTGCATACGTACATGGCACAACAAGTTAATGTTTCTCTCGCTCACTTCCTCTCTTTAAAAAAACACTTAAGCTGAGACCGGTTTGGATCAGTAGATAGAGCGTCGGCCTGTGGACTGAGGGGTCCCAGGTTCGATTCTGGTCAAGGGCATGTGCCTTGGTTGCGAGCACATCCCCAGTGGGGAGGTGTGCAGGAGGCAGCTGATCGATGTTTCTGACTCTCTATCTCTCTCCCTTCCTCTTTGTAAAAAATCAATAAATATTTATTTTTTTAAAAAAGATAAAAACGTAAGTATTTCTTAGCCTCAAGGGTCTCAGGTTCAGCTGTCCCTCTGTAATATTTTGTCCCATTTACTTCCATAAACGTAGCCTAGGAGACAATGCTAAGTCCTCCCAACTCCTCCTGGGTTCCCCCTACCTTGCAGGATGTCACTCATCATAGGTCATGTCAATAACTCCTTTGTCCTGGCCTGTACCTCGTGTGAAAAACATCTAAAAGCTTTCCTATGTTTGAGCGAATCCTGAACTGGGGTACACATGACAGGTTCAGCGGCCTAAAGCTTAGTCCGTATTCAGCAGAGAGGAAGACCACGAACTCATGTACATTTTACCTTTTAAATTCCAGTGAAGCCCTGGGAGCAGAACCAGAACTGCATGGTGACCAGCATTTCTGTTCCTAAACCTGGACACGGGTGACACGAGGGGCACGGTGACTCTCTGTCGTGAGGGGGCTGCGCTGGGCCTTGCAGAAGAGTGAGCATCATCCTTGGCCTCTGCCTTTGTCCCGGCCACTAGGAACCCAGTTATGACAAAAATGTCTCCAGGTATTACCAAGCGTTCCCCGAGAGGCCTGCGGGACATTATATGTTTGTGCTAGATGCTGCTGAATGGCAATTTGAAAAGCTTATCGGTTTGTGTACAAAACGTATCAGGATCAATATTTAAGAATAGACACAGTAGATATTTAATAGACACAAAAGATATTTAAGGCAATGGTCCTGCCATTCTTTATTTCTCACAATACACTTTTTACAGAAGGAAGAAAACAAAGCCCTGCACACTTTAAATTCTGATCGTACAGGTGTGTTTTTGCAGTTGCCTAAGGAAAGAATGAACCTCTTCATGACTTTTTAAAATATTATAACGTCCACGCCTAACGGTACAAGTCATACACTCGGCACTCGGTAACCGGAGTGAGCGCGCTTCCACGGGGAAGACGGAGCACCCCGGGAATGTAATGCAGTGACATGGCTGGAGCGGGATCTGTGACCCAAGCTGTCTTAACAGAGGTTCACAGGCTCGAACCCCAACTTCTAACCTACGTCCACAGCCCGGGTGGAAGGCCATGAGAGGAGAAGCCCCCAGGAGTCTAGGGTTTGGAGAGGTTAGCCTTGGAGAGAAACAGGTGACTCCGATCTCCCTGATGAGGCCTTGGAAAAGCTGTGTCTGAGGCGCTGGGAACAGGTGACACTTTCCGCTTCCAATGCTGGTCTCCACTTGTTAGAACAATGATTATAAGATTTCTTTCATATACAAAAAAGGTTAAAGGCACCGTGAAAGAATGGATATTTGCACTTGATCATTTTAGAACTCAAAACAACTCGGAAGGCAACGTGATGCAGGCGCCAGCGCCCGCTGCTCCCCGGGGGCCGCGCTCGCCTCGGCGGAGCCCGGGGCCATGCAGAGCCGCTGCCCTGGCTCCCGGGACTTAAAGCTTATTGAACACACGGGACTTAACGCTTTGACATTTTTTCAAGTGTTACAGATTTAAAGAAGCCTCTTGTACTGCTCTAAATGAGCAAGGGTTTCTTCTCTGGATAGGCCTGGTGCTCAGAAATTATTTTTTAGGGATAAAAATAGATCTTCGGTCTGATGATGACCTCCCTCCTCTGGCGCTTTGTTGGGTGAGTCACCCAGCGAGGAGGAAGAGGCTGTGAAACTGAACATCTGTCCCTGCCCACAGCTGGGAGGCCGGCGGCTGAGAGGAGGATGGAGGCTCTCACTGCACCGGCTCCCCGTGGTTCTAAGCCCCTCGCAGTGGGTGGCGGGGCCGTAAGCAGGCTTCAGAGAGGAAGGGGCGGTCTGCTACGGATATGTGGACACCCTGATTACGACGACATTTATGTGTAAGAAATGAAACAGTGTATAACTGATTACAATTTAAAAGCTTAACTGCAACCAAATAAAGTTTTGACTACTCTTCATAGCTTCTTTGCTTGCTTTCAAGACAGAAACATTATTCTCTGTCCTGGATTCATCCTTAAAGCGTCAGATATGAAAAACAGCCAAACTATCAAATCAGGACTGGTGGCAAGCACTGAACACAGTTACTTGGAGAACTAAGACGAACGGGGAGGAGGGAGAGAGTATAGTATGTGATTCCATACAAAAATGTTCTGAAAATGTTGATGTAGTACAGCTTTAAGAAGTAGGGGAGGGGAGGGAGCACAAATAAAAAAACGTTCCATTGTTTTCATTACATATTGGTGGTAGCTGTATTAGCACTGTTATTCTGAAGTGTAAGGTAATGAAAGAAATGTGATATTCTATCATGGCCCGTCTTGGAAAACCAAAATTCTCAGTATAGAAAAAATTGGAAATACAGTTGAAAAGAAAAGAAAAAAAAAGAATTAGATTGTAGTATTCCATTTGACTTGAAAGTATCAAAATAAACTCATGGCCCAGCCGGTGTGGCTCAGTGGTTGAGCGTCCACTTATGAACCAGGAGGTCATGGTTCGATTCCCCATCAGGACACATGCCCAGACTGGGGGCTCCATCCCCAGTGTGGGTGTGCAGGAGGCAGCCTAGCAATCGTTCTCTCTCATCATTCTGTTTCTCTCTCTCCCTCTGCCTTCTCTCTGAAATCAGTAAAATATATATTTAAAAATAACCTTATGAAGTGTCTTATCTTTAAAAGACAAAGTAATTTCTTAGCTCCCTCCCAGAAACAATGATAAGTCTAGTTGCAATGAGTGAGCATGCTGACCTGTGCCCTGAGTCTGCAATCAGCACAAGACAGACGGCGGGAAACCATGATTCTAAGACCAGGTTCTCCACAGGTGCAGTTTAAGAAGAGAGAAGGGGGAACGTGTAAAACAGGATATAAGCCCCAACCGGTTTGGCTCAGCGGACAGAGCGTCGGCCTGCGGACTCAAGGGCATGCACCTTGGTTGCGGGCACATCCCCAGAGGAAGGTGTGCAGGAGGCAGCTGATCGATATGATTCTCGATCATTGACGTTTCTAACTCTCTATTCTTCCCCCTTCTTCTCTGTAAAAAAATCAATAAAATATATATATTTTTTAAAAGGGTTGTAAAAGGTACATCTCATAACAATTTTAAATGAATACGATAAAAAATTGTGCGCAGAGATACACACTTGGGCAATAAAATACTAAAGAAATACAAGAGAGTGACTAGTACTGAAGTCAATGTGATGGTTACTTTCGTGGGATGGGGGACGAGCACTGTGAACTGTGACAGGACACGCAGAGGACACCCCGGGTGGCTGACAAGAGTGTTTCCCTGCAATGATGTGATGAGCAATAATTCTGTTTGGTTTTCAGTATTTTTTTTATAGTTTTTCTAATGGGTGAAATAAAAAATAACATCAAGGCCCTTTGGATTTTCCGCTAAGAATTATGGATGTGAATACCTCTACTATACATAACAGCAGGTGGTTCTTAAGAACTTGCCTACATTATAGAAATAATCCTAAACAATAAGCTACAAACGTTTGAAAAATAGAATAGTAAGTTCTTACGTATGCAGTTATAAAAAGTAAAAGAATTAGGCATACATTCCTAACGTGAAATTAATTTTGTTACGTTATGCTATACAATTTGGTTAAATGGACTGTGTCGACTTCCAAAATTTTCCTTCCCCACCATACAAGGTTATTCATGTTATTCTATTAGAACATGATCATTGAAACAGCTTTCCTATTTCCTTGCATGTCCACAATTTGTCTCACTTCCCACCTTTTTACATAGACCAAAGATTAGTTACCTTGCCCTATCATCATGATGCTATGATTAGTAAGTGGCATTACACATACTGTCATCCAATTTGCAAATGAAGGTCCTTCACCCATAAATCTCAGCCTTACGTTCTCTTTCACATATTAATGGGCTAATGGAGACTATTTTTGTTTGTTGAGCATCTAAAAAGATCAGGAATGTAAAACAGATTTAAGCCATCAAGATAAATGCAGTTTTAAAATGCAACATAACTGGTTTATACATTTCTGCCCATTGAACATCCACAATTCCCCTCCAGCTGTTTCAGCAGCATCTTAACAAATGGTGCAACTGTACGGTCTCCTTCCTTCTCCTTTTCACAACATTATGTGGTGTTTGAGTGACTCACATATTCCAGAAGTGACCGATCTAATACCCTTCGGATAAGAGCTTCTTCAATTATATTAAAATCCTACAAGTAAGAAAAAGAGTTAGAAACATACAATCAGAGACAATTTTCACCAACTGAGAAGATCCCGAGTTCAGTGGCCTGTCCAATCTTCCATAAAAAAAACCTGTCAGGGAACCTAGCACTTTGGTTTGGGGACAGTGCATCTTCTATGTTATTTGACTGCCTACGAAGTGACCAGTCATTGTCATGGCAAAAGAGTCTTGAATTGGAATTTAAAGTTTTAAATCTGATCTAATGAGTGGTTTTTAATCATTACTACAAACACTGGTCAGACAGCTAGGTTCCACATAACAAGTCAAATAAAGTCAGGACATTTCCATAGGACTCAGCAATCTCAGCACAACGACTAAGGATCTATCCGAAAACTGCTGAAAGCAAAACTCTCTTTCTCCTTGCCTTCCTGTGGTCAAAATGGCATTCAAAACTTTGTCAGCACATTCTGTAAACAAGACAAAAACTATCAATAGCCCTGACCTTTGCAACTCATCTCCTCTTCCTTCAGAAACTAAAAAAGAAAAAAAAGAAAAAAAGAAAAAAGAAAAGAAAACCAACTCGTAAGTATGTGTTTAAAGTCCATTCTGAAACACCTCTATGTATAAAACCCTCAGTGACCATTGGACCATTCAACCAGGAGCTATGATGCGCACTAACCACCAGGGGCTGACACTCAATGCACAGGCTTGGAAACATGGAACAGAATGATGAATCTCAGAGGGAAAGGGGTAGGGAGGAGGGCAGGAAGAGATTAACCAAAGGTCGTAAATGCATCCTAGAGGCCCAGCACATGGGTTCATGCACTGATGGGGTCCCTAGGCCTGGCCTGCGGAGACCAGGCCGAATCCATGCACCAGGCCTCTGATATGCCCCCAGGGGTCCCAGATTGTGAGAGGGCACAGGCCAGGCTGAGGGACCCCACCGGTGAACAAATCTGTGTACCGAACCTCTAGTAAAACCATAAAGTCAAATAAATAAAATCCAAAAGAAAGCCATAAAGAATAGAAGAATATAATATCTGGGACTCAATCCTGGTTGTTTCTTAGGCAATGTATTAACCTTTGAGCTTCAGATATTTCATCCCTAAGTGAGGATAATAGAGTACTCCCTTGACAGTAGTTGTTACAAGGAGTAAAATGAGATAATATGCGTGAGGTGCCTCCCATGGTACTTGGTAGCTGAGGAAACAAGCAAACAAACCAGCCGAAGAGCACCGTTTCAGCCTCACTTCCATATCCAAGAACACGGCTTTGAGTGGGTGGAGAGTATTCTCACCAAAGTAGTTTCTCCTTGGATTCATACTTGGAAAGATCTTGAGAAGAATGGACTGAATGTGAACAGCTAGAACGGGTGATGGCTTTTAGAACATCTGAAGGAGCTAAAATAAAGAGGAAGGCCTCCCTGTGTGCGGTGAAACATGAGAACACGGACAGAGCCAGGCCCTGTGAGGCCTGTGTCCTTTGGGGACCAGAGACACTATTTGGGAGGCGGGGCAGAGCCCAGGAAGCTCTGGGGTAGCCTGTGCAGTCCCTCAAGGGGTCCTCATATCCCACCTATTCTCTCCCACCTCCAACCTGCCTGAGATCCCTGCCCACTCTGCAGAGCACTTGACCTGGATTCCCTCACTCAAGCCTCTCAAATGGACCTTGAGAGCTTGTGTGGAGGTTCTAGCAGGGGAGCGCAGCTACTCGTATACCCTTGACCAAAGACCGATCCTCGCCTCTTGGGGGAAAGTCGTCCTCTTCGACCGAGCGCGCAGCTTCGGGAGGGACGCACATGGATCGGTGAGGGAGGAGGGGGACACCCGCTTAGCCAGCCAGATCAGCCCAATTAACCCTGGCGATCCATGGGGTGACAGATGTCGCAGCCAGATCGCCCTCACATCCACGCCTCCCAAGAGCTTTGGGGAGTAGGTGCTGTTTACTCCCTTCACTTAGCAAAGCAACAGAGGCTCAAAGGTCAACAGCCTGCCCAAGGACACACTGTTGTGACAGAGCTGTCTCTTAAATCCAGGCCAGAACCCAAACTCCTCGCGTTGAATCTGGGTAATCAGAGTGCGCAGATCACAAAGCAAAGAGAGGACTGTCAAATGAACCACTTTTAACAAATCGTTAACAATTACTAAGTTCTATCTTGAAATAGCATAAAGAACAATGTCAGATTATCTGCAAATTCAAATTTAACCATTAACAATCCTGTATTTAGAGGAAAGTTAACAATAAAATATTATGTTTCAGAACATAGCTCTGAGTGATTTCCCCTCTTACAGGCTGCAAGGGACTCAGGATAACATACTACCCTCCCATGACAGCTCATGGACCAAAGCACAACAAAGGCTACACTAACTTTTTGCTTGTTATCCTCATTTCTGATCATGGGATATAAAGTCATAAGCATTGGGACTATTGGTGCAATACCTAATTTTTCTTGCATTAAAAAAAAGTCAATATATTAAAGAGCATTATAAACTGATGAACCAAAAGATAGATATAGAGACAGTATATCAACAAGTAGACTGTCAAATTACAGCGGGGAGGGGAGGAAGATCTGGGGGAGATAATAGATCAACCGAAGGACTTTTATACATGCATATAAGTACAACCAATGGACACAAAACTCTGGGGAGGGAGGGGATGTGTGGGAGGGAGGGAGGGGGGCAAAAAAAAAATCAATAAAAAAAAATGTAAACATTTAAAAAAAAAAGTCAATATAACGAGATTGGTCATGAGTTGGTAGCTATTGATGCGTAGGTGATGGTTCTATGGAGGGGTTCATTATACTATTCTGTCTACTTTGTGTACATTTAATATTTTTTAAAAAATATATTTTATTAATTTTTTACAGAGAAGAAGGAAGAGAGCTAGAGAGCTAGAAACATCAATGAGAGAAAAACACCGACCAGCTGCCTCTTGTACACTCCCTACTGGGGATGTGCCCGCAACCAAGGTACATGCCCCTGACAGGAATCGAACCCGGGACCTTTCAATCTGCAGACTGACGTTCTACCACTGAGCCAAACTGGTTTCGGCTAATATTTAAAAAAATTTATGTTTAGCCGGGACCGGTTTGGCTCAGTGGATAGAGCGTCGGCCTGCGGACTGAAAGGTCCCGGGTTTGATTCCGGTCAAGGGCATGTACCTTGGTTGCGGGCACATCCCCAGTGGGGGGTGTGCAAGAGGCAGCTGGTCGGTGTTTCTCTCTCATCGACGTTTCTAACTCTCTGTCCTTCTCAATTCCTCTCTGTGTAAAATCAATAAAATATATATTTTTTAAAAAATTTATGTTTAAAAAAGTTCAAAAAAAATATTGTTTTATAAAATGTACATTAAAAAAATAATGCCTGTGTGACTTACTACACAGATAATGTTATATCTGTGAACAGCCATTCAATGTATTATAAAAGCAACTGGCCCTGCTGGTGTGGCTCAGTGGTTGAACACTGACCTATGAACCAGGGAGTCAGGGTTAGATTCCAGTCAGGACACAGGCCTGGGCTGCAGGCTCGATTCCCAGTGCGGGGTGTGCAGGAGGCAGCTGATCAATGATTCTCTCTTATCATTGATGTTTCTCTCTCTCTCTCTCTCTCTTTCTTTCTCTCCCTATTTCCCTCCCTCCCTCTCTCTCTTTCTCTCTCTCTCTCTCTCTCTCTCTCTCTCTCTCTCTCTCTCTTTTCCTTCTTCTCTGGAATCAATAAAAACACATTTTTAAAAATAACTGGATGCACAACAAACTCTCTGAGTCGTTTCATTATTAATGTGATTGCATCTCAGCTATATAAGTTTTCAGGTTCACAAAAATTATACATGGGGAGAAGTAAAGTAGAAACTAAAATAATTTGAAGGTGAACTCTGGCTTCTTATACAATGGATAATTATACGGATCACACAAAAATAGTTTTGTGTAAGGCAGATAACTGCTTTAATATTAATAGCCAAATTTACAAAACACTCTATTTTTATGATTTCTTAGTTAATGCTAATACTTAACACTTTGGCTATATAGGCATTTTCCCCTCTTTATTTGCTTGGATTAAAAAAGCAAGCTTCACACAGACACATGAAGACAATGTAAAAATAAAACAAATACTTACTAAGAAATCCTCATAGAGCTGCGTGTGACTGACTTGCAAATGTCTTATCAAACTGCCATTGAAACTGCTAGGGTTCTCGGTAGGTATCAAACGGCAGAGTGGGCAGAACTGGAATCAGACAAGACCAAGAGTTCAAGAAAGAATTTAAAATAATCACTAATATCAGAATTAAAACATCAAAGAGCCAACTACTCAGCCATAAGAAAGGATGAAATCCTGCCACTGGTGACAACACGGATGGACCTTGAGACTATGCTAAGCAAGAGAAGGTGGTCAGAAAAGCAAAGAACCATATGATTTCCCTCACACATGAGATATAAGACTGAAACTCATAGACACAGACACCAGTATGGTGGTTACCAGAGGGAAAGGGATGGGAGGTAGTAAAGGGTATGGGAAGCCAAATATATGGCGACAGAAGATGATCTGGCTTTGGGTGGTGGGCCGACAGTGCAATATAAGGATCATGTATCACAGAAATCTATGCCTGAAACCTATATAATCTTATTAATCACTGTTATCCCAACAAATTTTAATTAAAAAAATACATAGCCATTCAATAAAGTGAAATTTAATTGGACAAATCTATTGGCCATACCTCAGTTTTATGTTTTACAATTTCATAAACATTGAAACAACATTAAACAAATAAAATCACATTTATTCTTGAATAAATTTCTTGTATACATATTATTGTATAGCTATTATTTTCATAGTTATTAACTGATTAAACAATCGTACAGTTAGTAGACACACTCTAATGTACTTAATTAATTGCCTACCTCTTGAAATAAGTTTTTTGTATGTAGAAATTTTATTATTACAAATGATATTATCTATAGTGTTTATCTTTCGGGGGGTTATATTTTTAGGATAAATGACCAGAAAAGATGAATCATAGTCAAAGGTTATGAACATTTATGGTTCATAATATCTATCGCTCTAAAGTACTTTTATTACCATCAGCAATAAAGATTATAACACACCAGCATCAGTAATTAGTATTTACATGTATTTCCTAATTTAATAGCTATGAATAGCTCTTTAAAAAAAAAACCCTGTCGCCGAGACCGGTTTGGCTCAGTGGATAGAGCGTCGGCTTGGGGACTGAAGGGACCCGGGTTCGATTCTGGTCAAAGGCATGTACCTTGGTTGCGGGCATATCCCCAGTAGGGGGTGTGCAAGAGGCAGCTGATCAATGACTCTCTCTCATCGATGTTTCTAGCTTTCTATCTCTCTCCATTCCTCTCTGTACAAAATCAATAAAATATATTAAAAAAAAAAAACCCTGTCATTTTGAAATATTTATAAACTCCCAAGAAATTGCAAAAATAATTCAGAATGGTCCCACGTCTCATCACCCAGTTTTCCCAAATGGTAATATCTTACATAACTATAGCCATTATCAAAATCAGGAAGTTGGCAATTAACTAGACTACAGATCTACCTTAGGTTTCACCACTTTTTGCATGAATTCAGTTGCACGCGTGTGTGCGTGCATGTGTGCGTGTATGTATGTGTGTGTGTGCGTGCGCGCGTGCGTAGTCCTATGAAATGTTATCATGGATATAGATTCATATACTCATCAACACAATCAAGATACAAAATGTCCTGTCACTGCAAAGGAGCTTCCTAGTGCTACACCCCTACTACCTTCCTCTACCTACCCTGGTGTTCACCCACCTGCTCCCCATTTTGTCATCATTCTGAGAATGTTAAATAAATTCAATTATACAGTATTTAATCCAGTCATATAGTACTTAATCTCACAAGCTGCTAATCTTGTGAGATTGGCTGTTTATCACTGAGCAGAATGACCTTGAGACTCATCCAAGTTGTTGCTTGCATCCATAATTCCCTCCTTTTTATTACTAGTGGTAAGTAGACCATGATATGGATGTACCACAGTTTAACCATTTACTTTCTGAAGGACATTTGTTGTTTACAGTTTGAGGCTGTTACAAATAAAACTGCATCGAACATTTGTGTACAGATTGTTGCAAAGATGTTTTTCTCCAGGATAAATTTCCAAAACTTTGATTGCTGGTCATATGGTGAGTGTTATAGTTAACTTGAAAAAAAAAAAAAAAAAAGCCGAAACCGGTTTGGCTCAGTGGTAGAGCGTCGGTCTGTGGACTGAAAGGTCCCAGGTTCGATTCCGGTCAAGGGCATGTACGTTGGTTGCGGGCACATCCCCAGTTGGGGGTGTGCAGGAGGCAGCTGGTCGATGTTTCTTTCTCATCGACGTTTCTAGCTCTCTATCTCTCTCCCTTCCTCTCTGTAAAAATCAATAAAATATATATTTTTTAAAATCTCTTTTAAAAAAAAAGCCTTACCTCACTACTATACAGCAATAAAAATTTAAAAGCCAAAGCCACACCATAAAGTAGAACTAAAATGCCAGACTGAAATGAAAAAAAACAGCACTCACTACGAATCTAGGAAATGATGAGCAATACATGTATTTCATGCACAAGCATGTGGATATATATGAAATAAACTAATAGTCTGATGAATAAAGATAACGACTTTATGCTTTTCTTTTTTGTTTATTTTATATAACTTTCTACTTTTCATTTCTAGTGTATTTTCATAACTCTATTTGCATTATTTTAAAAAGTTTTAAACCTAGGATGTGACCATGGTTATTACACTAAAGTTAGATCTTAACTATGCATTTGGGATATTCTTAGTTGATTATGCCCAGGATGATCTATAAGAGATAATGACTAATTTCATAAATGAAAGAGTGAATGCACATTTGTTATTCTTATCAGTTTCAATTTAACATTTTCACATTTTGTTAATGTCATAGAATTACCATAACCTCGACATAAATTATCCTGTATAATATATCTATAAACAGAAGCTTATCGAATGAATTTTCTTTTTTTAAAAAATATATTTTATTGATTTTGTACAGAGAGGAAGGGAGAGAGATAGTTAGAAACATCGATGAGAAAGAGTCATCGATCAGCTGCCTCTTGCACACCCCCTACTGGGGATATGCCCGCAACCAAGGTACATGCTCTTGACCGGAATCGAACCCGGGACCTTTCAGTCCCCAAGCCGATGCTCTATCCATTGAGCCAAACCGGTTTCGGCTGAATTTTCTAATATATATTGAATTTAGACACTGCAGAAATGCACAGTGACAAAAATCCTTACCACAGGTCTCCTTTCTGATCTGTGATGATTAACACAATGATCCAACAAGCTGTCTTCATCCAGTTCCTTCTGGCAAAATGGACACACACACCTGAAAATTGCATAGAACAGAATATCACTAAATGATTGGCAATGAGTTAGTAGTCACTTAACTACAGAGGTAAAAAAACAGGTCCAGTTTCCAGTCCTCATTCTTTCTGAACTGATATAATGTTTTCCAATCCTGATGATGGTCTTGGGGCCTAAAGTTCTTCTCCTGAGGGATGTAAATGCGTGTCCCTCTGGTGAGAGGGGAGAGAACCAGCTATGGTACACTCAAAGCACCATTCACTGAGAAACAGCACTAAGTCCACCCACCTGTCCCTGCATTACTTTGTCACTTTTCCATCCTCCCTTTCCTAATTTTGATTTGGTTTTTATTTGTCCTCAAACTCTTCTAGCACACATATAGGGTGGGGCAAAAGTAGGTTTATAGTTGTTTGTATGGAAAATAATACAATCCTATATAATAAAGAGTTAATATGCAAATTGACCCTCATGCCCTCATACAAGATGGCCGCCCCCATGTGGTCAAAGGTATCAGCCACAAGATGGCTGGCAGGGGAAGGTAGTTGTGGGTGACCAGGCCTGCAGGGAGGGCTGAGTCACATATGTTATCACCTGTTGGGAATGGCTAAAGGCATTTCCCCCAAACCTGAAAAGGATGATTGTTTCCTGCCAGACAGCTCAGGGCATCTTAATGTACATGTTATTAACACCTGTTGGCCAAACACCTGAACAGCCGTAAGCTATTCCCCATTTTGACAATGGATTCTGTACCTAACCCTACCCTTTGATTTGTATATCTCCACCTTGCCTTAGGACAATTTGTGCTAATAAAAAGCAAGGAGTCCTGAGACAAGGAAAACTTAGGTCCTTCTGCTAGGATCCTCTGACCCCCAATGCCTTCCAAAATTATCTTTGGACTTTGAGTTTGAGAGTTTGAGAAAGTCTATGCACAGCCTTTCTCCAGATTGCTGAACCCTTCTTAATGCTGGAGCAAGAATCCCCTATCCATCTTCCAGCACCCAAAGGCATAGAATACAGATGCCTGCTGAGGCCTGTCCCTCCTTGTTAGAACATATATGGAGATGTATGGAGATCTGACTTCCTGCTTTCTATGGAGAACCAGCAAAATGAGAGGGAATGAACTGGGAACTGGGCAGTGGTGGTGGAACCGCCCAGTGAAGATGAATAACCTCTTAATCACGATCTACTTCAGGGCTCTACTAGTCAGAAAGCAGAGCCTAGAAGAAGAAACGAGCAGTTCCGCATTGCTTGTGGGTCTTCCTTAATATAAACCCGTCTGAGGGCGTTTCCCTAATCTCTCCAGAGCTCGGTTGGTGCCCTCCATGCAAAGTTTTTAGAGCAGAGAGCAAAATTCTTCCACAATCAGTGGTTGAGCATTGACCTATGAACTAGGTACAGGGGTCCTCAAACTTTTTAAAGTGGGGGCCAGATCACGGTCCCTCAGAGAGCTGGAGGGCCGGACTATATGAACTACTAATTCCTACTGTAACACCTCGGCTGCGCTCACTGCCCAAAAAACCTGGCGGGCCGGATCAGACTCCTCTGCGGGCCGCATGTGGCCAGCGGGCCGTAGTTTGAAGACGCCTGATACTAAAAGGTCAGGGTTCCATTCTCAGATAAGGCACACGCCCAGGTTGCAGGCTCGATTGCCCAGGGGGGGCGTGCAGGAGGCAGCTGATCAGTGATTCTCTCTCATCATCGATGCTTCTATCTCTCTCCCTCTCCTTTCCTTTCAGAAACCAATAAAAAACAAAAACAAAAAACAACATACTAAAAAACAAACACAAAACAAACGGTATGATCCTTAAGAGCCTGCACACAACTAGATTTCCACAATAAAAAAATTTAAATTTTCCATTCAATTATTTGTTTTCCTTTTCTGTAACATAACATTTAAGAATGGTTTCCAATTACAATTTACGTTCAATATTACTTTGCATTCGTTTCAGCATTAAATTCTGTACAGACATACCGAGGTCAGCACTAAATGGTGCTCTACGGAAACAAACCTTGCTGCTGTCTCCCCAAGTTCTTGCAGAGGTCCATATTTATCTATGTACTTCTGACAGCTCCTCACATGCGCCCTCATCTCGCTGAGGCAAACCTACCGGAAAGCAAATGCAACATGAACCGGCTGCTGAGAGGGAGCTCAGTGCGGCCCGAGTGGCCTGGCCTGATGGCTGCTTTCATCATTTCACACAGGTCGCCTCGGGGGCCAGCGGGCTTTACAAGGATGCATTCATGAGGACAGCGCAGCAAAGCGGGGGCGCTCTGCAGAACAGCCCTCCTTTTCAACTTCTCTAACACTTTGAAGGCACGCATCGTGATTGATTTTGGTTCTTCTAGAAAGCACTTATTTTCTTAAGTGGAAAGACGTAGATGAACTGAAATGGACACTTTGGGAATGCCACTCCCTAAATTGGTGATGGGAAGAAGCAAGTGGGAAAGAAAAGGGAGAGAGGAAGAGGGAGAAAAGAGGAGGGGGGGAAAAGAAAGACAGAGAGAAACATATAATAAGTGGGTGGATTCTAGGAATATCCATAGTAAGTAAGAAGAAATGCCTCGGGAAAAGCTATCAATACCCTGGTTTTCAATGTATGTAGTATCATCCCATGAATTCACAATGCACAGCACACTTAATGGCCCCCTTAGAGCACACATGAAGGAAGCTCTCTCAGTCCATTTTTATCAAGGCCGAAGAAAGAGCCCTGTCCCTCCAGATATACATCCAGAGCCCTCACCATGAGGATCTGTGGCTCAATGACACACATTCGACTGACTCAGTGCTTTCTTAGGAGCTCTGACAGGGCCCGCCCGGTGCTGGAGGGGGCTTTCGCAGCTGTGCTAAGGCCGCGGCCCCCCTGCTTCCCGCTGCCCACGCCACCGGAGAAAACCCTCACACTTGAAACAGTGATAATCGCTTCACAAAAGAGCAAAAATAAGAGCAGGTCCCGGCCTTCGGAATGTCTCTGTGAAAGATGTGAACACTGGGACTGATGTCCTAGCCGCCTTGAAACAGACGGTTACACCATCTCCCACACCCAGCCCTGCCCCCCAGGGCCCCCTCCTCTCTCCTCTGCCTGGGTGAAGGGTTCTTCCTTCCTCTGTGGGCTCCTTTGCCAGCAAAGTTAAAGGGTTCTTCCCATGAATCAGCTATCGGGGGGCCCTACATACTGACCAACGCACTGCTAAGTTCATGCAGTGGCCACTCTAGAGACAAAAGCAGGCAAGGCAATGTATGAGATGACAGTAAGAGATGACAGGAGAGACATTAACCACTTTGGCTGGCCCGGCTGGCTCCAGGGTTGAGTGTCGACCTGTGAACCAGGTCACAGTTCCATTCCTGGTCAGGGCTCATGCCCAGGTTGTGGGCACATCCCCAGTGTGGGGCGTGCAAGAGGCAGCCGATCCATGATTCTCTCTCATCGTTGATGTTTCTATCACTCTCTCCCTCTCCCTTCCTCTCTGAAATCAATAAAAACCTATTTGAACAATAAATAAATAAACCACTGTGCTTGCTGTAAAGCTGTTTCTAATCTAATGGAAGGGGGAGAGATGCTGCGTTATTGATTTTGGTTCTTCAGAAAGAACGAAGACAAGCAGGGAGGAAGCTGATCCTGGGCACGGAATACGGAAGCCAGGGTCATGGGATGGAGCTCCGTCTGGGTTCTTCAGCGTAAGTAGCATCTAAATGGCTACAGAAGGAATGGCAGTGTCCCTGGCAGGACGAGTAATGGAAAACGGAAGAGATGGACACAAGAAATACCCCAAAGAGAAATGCAAAATGCAGAAATGGGCGGGGAAGGGGGGGAGGGGGACGAAAAAAGAAAGGAAATTTCCACCCAGAATAATTGAATGTTCTTGTTTCTGACGGACACCAAAGGTGGGATAAAGAATGGGATGTCAGCCCTAACCAATTTGGCTCAGTGGATAGAACATCAGCTTGCGGACTGAAGGGTCCCAGGTTCGATTCCGGTCAAGGGCAGGTGCCTTGGTTGCGGGCACATCCCCAGCAGGGGGTGTGCAGGAGGCAGCTGATCAATGTTTGTCTCTCATTGATGTTTCTAACTCTCTATCCCTCTCCCTTCCTCTCTGTAAAAAAATCAATAACATATATTTAAAAACAAAAAATGGATGACGAAATAATACCCTGAGTTTGACTTGGGACATGTTAAATTTTATACGATGGAAAATAAATATCAAAGTAAAAACAAGCAATAGTCTATGAGGATGAGGTGAAATCTCTTGATTTGGAGCATTCCTCATGTTTCAGACCACGCTAACAGCCACATGCTTTCTCATTCAGCGTTAAAACCATCCTGTGACACAAACATTACCTTTCCCTCATTTTCCAAAGGTAAACAAAAACTCAGATTAAAACTTGTCCCAAATCACAGAGAATAAGTGAGAGAATCGGGATGTTTGACCTCAAAGGCCATGCACGCACTCTGTAGCCAGGCAGCCATGAAGAGATTACGGAGTCTCACAGAAATATGAATTACAAACAAGATTGCAGTAAGCACTTGCTATGTGCCAGTCCCTTTTCAAAGTGCTGGGAACACAGCTGCCAATAAAACAGACACAGTCCTTACCTTCTTGGAGCTTAAGTCTGGTGGGAATAACTGATATTCAACTAAAAAGTCATAAAAGCACAATGATAAGTGGTGGAACATGTTACAAAGCGGACCCAGAGAGCTGGGAGAAAGTCTAACAGGCTATAATTTAGGTTAGAAATCAAGAAAGATTCCTATTTAGCCCTTCAGTGCATAATCTCTCTTTTAATCTTCAGGCTGGTATTTCTAAGTACCTCCTACTTGGTTCAAATTTTAACACATCTCAAATTCAACTCCGTGGATTCTGCTCCAAACCTGATCCCCCTCTTAACACCTTCACTACTCACCTCAGAAGCCCTGCAGGCACCGTGACACTTCCCCTCACTCGCCCCCACAGGCAGCCTCACCAATTTCCTCTCACTCTCCCTTCTAAACACACCTTGGAAAACGTCTCATTTCACACCTATCCAGCTCCCTCACCGGATCCATGCCGACAGCCACCAAATTGGCTTCACCAGTCCTGCTTTTGGCCCCTCCAAGGGACCATCCACACACACTGGGGTAACATCCCCGAAGTGTACCCCGATCTCCATGCGTCACTCTTGCATTTGAGATAGAATCTAGACAGAATCTCTTGCACAGCCCCCAGCCCTCACAGGAGGTAACCATGCTCCCTAGGGACACGGATGAACAGGAGGAAGAGAAGGAGAGAGAAGCACTGCCAAGGCAAGGGCGTAGGTGCCCGGGTGTCACTGGATGGATAACCAAGCTCTTGTTGGCGGGCTGCCATGGAGCAGCAGGAATGGAGAGCACTTCACAGGGGCGCGGGGGCATGGGAAGAGAAGAAGTGGAGGCAGCCAAAGGGAGCATCTGTTTGGAAAACAAGGCGATGGTAGGCGTCAGGTGGCTGTTTTCTCACCGCTTCCACCTATGAAGCTGGAGAAAGGCTGAGACAACCAACTTTAGGAGGTCAGGGGAGGGTGAGGTCAAAGGGCATAGGGCAGTGATCAGCAAACTCATCAGTCCACAGAGCCCAATATCCACAGCACAACGACTGAAATCTTTTTGGAGAGCCACATTTTTTAAACTTAAACTTCTTCTAACGCCACTTCTTCAGAATAGACTCGCCCAGGCCGTGGTGTTTTTGTGGAAGAGCCACCCTCAAGGGGCCTAAGAGCCGTATGTGGCTCGAGAGCCGCGGTGTGCCGACCTCGGGCCCAGGAGGACCGATGAACTGTGTCGCGCACAGGGCACTCACCCGGGCGCCGCACTCGGCGCAGTTCTGGAACTCGGACTCCATCCTCTTGGTCACGTCGGTGGCCGGCACTCCTTCCGAAGGGAGGTGGGCCCGGCAGTACGGGCAGGTCCACCTGCTGCTCTTCAGACTGGCGGCGATGCAGGAGCGGCAGAACCTGCGGGGACACACCGCGGGCTCGTCACTTTCCCCAGGGCATGCCGAGCCACCATGCGGTTCCCAGTGGGAACGGCACACGGGAGCTGCAGGACCACAGGGCAGGTCCGTCTGCCCCCGGCACTGGCCCGCCTCGTACCCGCTCCCCTGCAGCAAGACTTGGCCGGGTCACCTGTTCTCACCGCATGCACTGCCCACATGGAAACAAAAGGGCACAGGCAGCGTGGTAACCCGGCATTTCTAGAAATAGAGTTAACAGTTACTGTATTCTTTCTCCTCTTTAATCCCACTTTCCCTGCAGTTTTGGGGGAAATGGGTATTTGCTTTAGAATTTTGAGTGTTAGATAGGAAAAGAGCAAGCGGAAGCCCCGTCAGCATGGCTCAGTGGTTGAGCATCGAAACCAAGAGGTCATAGTTCGATTCCTGGTCATTGATGTTTCTAACTCTCCATCCCTCTCCCTTCCTCTCTGTAAAAATCAATAAAAAATATATATATATAATTTTTATTTTTTTTTAAGGGAACGGAGTTCAAAAACCATCATGGGACTCGTCGCTACTACTCAAACTGCTTGTCATCCGCTGGCTGGCACCATGGAGTGGTTGTCTCCACTCGAGGGGTGTTCACCCAAGTATCCACGCTGCATTTGGCTGAAGAGTCAGCCATTAATTCACTAATACCTGACCCCTACTACGTGCCAAACCTTAGAGGAATGGCAACATAGGAAGGGGCATTCCTGAACTAAAAGGGTGGCTCTCAGAGCTTTGGGCCATGATGGTTCGGAGGACTCCATTCGGCCCATTTTAAGGGACACTCCCCCAGGCCCTTTGGGAGAAGGGGGCACCCTACATACACGTTTTTAGCACCGGGAGCCTGGATGCTTCGCCTCTACACTGCCAAGTTCCATGAAGCCAAACAACAGGTCAAATGTTAGGTCACTGATCATTGGCCATCGTCAGGGAACTTCCACACACTCCACTACCTCAACCCAACCACCTGCATCTGTGCACGAAAGCGCCGAGGCACATCTCCGGGTCACTTAAAACGCGCCGGTCGATGATTCTTAGACTCGGAGAACCGCCAATTTGGTGTACACCTTCTACTTGTCCACAAATGGAACGTTTCAATCCATTCCCAGAGAGCACTTCAGAACTGTTCTCAGCTGTTTCATTATTAAGTAAGTTCTATCACACAGGGCCATTTAATGCAATCGGATCGATGGAGAATCTGCAGTAAGTACTCAGCTCTGCTAGTGGTGGGGCAAAAACGGAATATTGGGGCTAGCTGTGGTTATGGGAAACACTAATCATGCTGTTAACCATGACTGCCTTGTGCCGGTTAAAGAGAGGACATTCTGCCCGTAGCCGGTTTGGCTCAGTGGATAAGAGCATCGGCCTGTGAACTGAAGGGTCCCAGGTTATATTCCTGTCAAGGGGACATGCCAGGGATGCAGGCTCCATCCCCCAGTAAGGGGCGTGCAAGAGGCAGCCAATCAGTGGTTCTGTCATCACTGATGTTTCCATCTCTCTTTCCCTCTCTCTTCCTCTCTATAATCAATAAAAATGGAAGGAAGAAAAGAAGGAAGGAAGGAAGAAGGAAGGAAGGAAGGAAGGAAGGAAGGAAGGAAGGAAGGAAGGAAGGAAGGAAGGAAGGAAGGAAAAACATTCTAACCTGGCTGGGAGTTGTACGCCCTGGGACTGGGAGTCAGCCTTGGCCTGTGGTCCATTCTCACTCGAGAACTGCCTATTACCATGGGAACATGAACAACCTTGTTGCCCAAACAATGAAGTTCCACCACAGCGCACACTGCCTACTTGCCCTGCCTGGGGCCCCTGCTTCCCCAAGGAATCCTTGTCCTACCCGACAAAGCAGCTGGCTGATGGGGGCTGCAGAGCAGACTTCTGTGGGTGACCTGCTGCTCTCCCTTACTGGAGCCGGCAGGACTGAATTAACGCTCCTGTACGCGTCACCCGCTCTCTGCTTAACTGACTCCAGTAGTGACAGGCAGCGCGGACCCATTGATTGCCCAGTTACAGGAGGTCCGTTCTCAGACCTTTTTAAAGAGAACTCCCCCGCCAAAACCGCTGTGGCTCAGTGAATAGAGCATCGGCCTGTGGACTGAAGGGTCCCGGGTTCGATTCCGGTCAAGGGCATGTACCTGGGTTGTGGGCACATCCTCAGTAGGGAGCATGCAGGAGGCAGCTGATGGATGAATCTCTCTCATCAATGTTTCTAACTCTCTATCTCTCTCCCTTCCTCTCCGTAAAAAATAAAAAAAAAAAAGTCACACACACATACACACACACACACACACACACACACAAATAAATAAATAAAATTAAAATAAGAGAACTCCCTGGCTGCTCCAGTTCTGGTCTCTTCCTCCAAGCCCACTCTCCCAGTGCCTCTGGAGTGTCTCCCCTCAGATGGGAATCTCTCCTACGGGCACTTTCACAGCCCGATCCCGATTCATCACCTCCCCGCTGAGCTCCGCTCCGCTCCGCTCCCCGGATCTGTTCCCTGTTGGGGAGCTAGCTGCCTTGCACTTCTTTCTCCCCATGGATCTACCTTATCCAACGGGCAACAGAGGTCTTTGACTGTTTCTGGATGTTTAAGTGTAAATCAGATTCCCTTTAAGTTTCATTTGCACAGGTTCACTACCCAGTCCGCCAGCTCCTGCGCTAACAGAAGATAAGGAAAAGATAAAGAAGGCCCTCCGCCCCCACCAGTGTATTTTTACAAGTGATAAGAGAGATGATGTAAATAGTCATTTTAAAGTGATAAAACTTTAAAATGGAACTTCCTGAAACCCACCTTGGGTGGCCCTTTTGTTTCCCCCCATAAGTACAGAGAGACGAATAATAGCCCGTTAAGGGTTCTGGCTTAGTGGAAGGATGGTGGAGGCGACACAAGCCAGGGTGTTGAGCCTTTATTAGGGCTCCTTGTACGTGTTAAACACTCATCCAGCCCCATGACATGGGCTGCTTTACAGGTGAGACAGATGCGGAGAGATTAAGCCATGTGCTGGTCCTCACCCACCGTTCCTACTACAGCACAACACAGCTCACAGAGTGCTATACGGCGTTGTTGCCATGGTTACACTGGGCATGAAATAGGTTTGTGTTTACATGAATGAGCCTAAATGACCTCATTCAACAAGTTCGGAAGTTAGCTTTCACAGGGGATAGCACAGAGGTTCCGTTTGCATGTCTTCATTTTCCCGTGTACGTTCTACGGAGCACAGGGATGGAATTAGGAAGGACAGACGGTGTGCACACCACTCCCATCCCCAGGGCAGGAGGGATGATGCTCGTTCAGGGCGGAAGGGGCCCACAGGACCGTGCCAGAAGCAGTAATGTGGAAACTGCCCACAGCCAGAACAATGGCCACAGATTTGTCCAAACAAAGGACAGCGCAGTGAGGAAGGCCAGCGGTCCGGCCTGGGTAGATTTCATGCCTGTTTTTCCCAGCGGCTGGCTTCCTAGTCGCTCTCACAGAGAAAAAGTGGAAACAGGCCTTCACGTCCTGCGAATGTGTATTCGTTGTCCTCTGCAGAAGCAGAAGCGCTGCACACTGTGAGACACAGCTTTCCAACCCAAACCCAGGAGCAGTCCGCTCAGACGCCCGTCCCCAGGACCCCACCGCAAAGCTGCCACAGAGCCTTCCGACTCCATAGCCACTGTGCCCGTGGCCGGCAGCCCAGCTTTAAAGCCAACTCTAAACGACGCTAAATGGGAATGAGGCGGTCCCGGCCTGAACAAATCCACCTGACATGGTACCCAGCCTCACGGTGGTTCCCGTGTGGCCGTGGGCTCCCTCCGGGCAGCTGGCCAACAGCACCCTGATGGGACGGGACGGCAGGTGAATTAGCCCTGAGGGTCAAGTGCAGAGCTGAACCCAGGGCCCGGGGACAGCCGAGAAACGCCAGGACACTGCTCAGTGCTCCAGGTGACGGCTGGAGATTCTCTCCCTGCAGCGTGAGAGGCTGGAGGTGTGAGGGCCGCCTCAGGTCTTTGAAAGTATTCTGTGAGCTTACGTTTAGAATATTATTTTGTTTTGTTTTGAGGGGTGAGCTACTGCCCTGGAGCTGCCTCCAACTATAGTGGTTGGGCGGCCCTCGGTTTGCGCTCTTGCTCCAGCCATCCCCACTGGCACCCAGTCCCCGCGCACCCATAGGCCCCGAAACACAGGCCTCGCACCCAGAGAGCAAGCTCCTAAGTAAACAGTCAGGATGCACTGGGGCTGCCAGCGGAGTGAGTGCGGGAGCTCGCGGTTCCCCGTTATTGGGTCCGGCTCCCGGCGGCGCGGGGCGGGGGCGGGCAGGGACCGGAGGGGGCGCGTCCGCCTTCGGGGCGGGGGGGAGGGCCACTGGCACAGGCTCGGGTGTGCACTGCACAGCCAGGAAAGCAAACCGCACCCCGGGGTCTGGGGGAGCCGTGCCCTCCCGGGAGCCCCTGCCCGCTGCCCAGGCGGAGCTCCGGGGGCTCCCCCTCCGGCCCGGACCCTCCCCGCCCCAGCAGCGGGCAGCCGGCTCCGGGCGGCTCCACCCCGGACCCCCCGCCTCCGGGGGGCCCGCATCTGGGCGTCCCAGGGAGCAGCTCCGGAGCCGTAGGGCCCGCTTTTTGGCTGTTTTTTTCCTCCTGAAATCCGGTGTCACCTTCCGACCCGGGATCCCCCCTCCTCACCCCTGTGGCCCGCACCCCCTGAACCTCCCGGCTGCCCCTCCGCTCCCCGCTCCCCACGCTCCCCACGCTCCGGTCCCCGCTCCCCGCCCCCCGCTCCCCGCTCCCCAGGCCCCGGTCCCCGGTCCCCGCTCCCCCCTCCCGCTCCCCGCCCCCCGCTCCCCGCTCCCCAGGCCCCGGTCCCCGGTCCCCGCTCCCCCCTCCCGCTCCCCGCTCCCCCCTCCCGCTCCCCGCTCCCCGCTCCCCGCCCTGTGGGCCCCCCGCCCCCCGCTCCCCGCTCCCCCCGCCCTGTGGGCCCCCCGCCCCCCGCTCCCCGCTCCCCGCCCTGTGGGCCCCCCGACTGTGGGCCCCCCGCCCTGTGGGCCCCCCGCCTGTGGGCCCCCCGCCCTGTGGGCCCCCCGCCTGTGGGCCCCCCGCCTGTGGGCCCCCCGCCCTGTGGCCCCGGCCCCCCGCCCCCCGCCCCCCGCTCCCCGCTCCCCGCTCCCCGCCCTGTGGGCCCCCCGCCCTGTGGGCCCCCCGCCTGTGGGCCCCCCGCCCTGTGGGCCCCCCGCCCTGTGGGCCCCCCGCCCTGTGGCCCCGGCCCCCGGCCCCCGCCCCCGGCCCCCCGCTCCCCCCGCCCTGTGGGCCCCCCGCCCTGTGGCCCCGGCCCCCGGCCCCCGCCCCCGGCCCCCCGCTCCCCCCGCCCTGTGGGCACCCCGCTCCCCGCTCCCGCCCTGTGGCCCCGGCCCCGGCCCCCGCCCCCCGGCCCCCTCCGGCCGGGCCGCACTCACACGTGGCCGCAGCGGGTGCGCACCGGCCGGTGCAGCACCTCCAGGCACACGGCGCAGTCGAAGGACGGGGCGGGCGGCGCGGGGTCCGGCCGGCGCGGCGGGGCCCGCGGGGGCGCGGCGGGCACGGGCTTGCCGCCGTCGCCGCTCAGCACCGAGCCCATCGCCCCTCCGCCGCCGCTGCCGGGCTCCCGCCGGGGTTTGTGGTCCCGGAGGGAGGAGGGCCCGGCCCCGCGATCTGTCGCCGCCTCCGGAGCAGCCCGGCCCCGCGATCTGTCGCCGCCTCCGGAGCAGGGCCCGGCCCCGCGATCGCCGCCTCCCCGCACCGAGCAGCCCGGGGGCGAGTCTGGAGCTGCCTCTGGGGCGGCCCGGGCGGAGATGGAGGCGGGGTTAGGGGCGGAGGTGGAGGCGGGACGGGGGCCTGGGTGCGGGATGCGGCGCCTCGGGGTCCTGCGGGATTGAAATCTGAAACTGCGAGTGCAGAGCAGAGGGCCCCGCAGAGAACCTTCGGGGCACACCCGCCTCCTCCCGGGGCAGGTTCAGGAAAGCCGAGTCTATGGGAATCAGCGGACACCCGCCGGTCAGGGTGGTCCCATCGCCCTGCACTGTTGTCATCATAACGGGCCTCAGAGATGCTGGGTGGCTGAGCGTGTCCGGACGGCGCCCCTCACCACTTCAGTGAAGACCAGCCCTGGTGCCGGCACCAAAGCAGGAGCTCCGTGCCCATCCCTCCGGCTCCGGGTCTCCTGCTGCTGTTCGTGTTCTCCGCCCCTTTCCCTTCTAAATAGAACCAAAAATATCATTTATTTTTTTAAAAACATATTTTATTTATTTTTTACAGAGAGGAAAGGAGAGGAATAGAGAGTCAGAAACACCGACGAGAGAGAAACATCGATCAGCTGCCTCCTGCACACATCCCACTGGGGATGTGCCCACAACCAAGGTACATACCCTTGACCGGAATCGAACCTGGGACCCTTCAGTCCGCAGGCTGATGCTCTATCCACTGAACCAAACCAGTCAGGGCATGGGGGGGCGGGGAATATATATATATATATATATATATATATATATATATATATATATATATAATTTATCAATACAATTTATTTAGTGCCTACTATATGCCAGACTCTATTCTGGTGATGGGGACCCGGTTCCCAACAAAAAAAATCCAGCTTTTCTCATCTCAGGATTTACTAGAAAAATAAAATTTGAGATAATTATAGTTCCACATGCTTACTAAGAAACAATTCATAATACATAATATACATACAATACTATAACACAATAATACATGTAAATACAAAATGATCCCGTAAACTTCACCCAGTCTCCCCAGACTTGAATTTTAACGAGAAGATACAAGTAATGGACAGATAAATAAATGAGCAAGGTCATTTCCGATAACAAGAGCCGGGAAGAAGAGGAACAGGGAGAGAGGGTGCGGGAAGGATAAGAAGGTCAGAGAAGCCTTTGGATGCGATATCTGAGCAGCAGCATGAATAATGAAAAGGAGAGAGCCGCTCAGAGATTTAGGGACAGAGCTGGCTAAGCACCTTGTCCAGGGAGGGAGGCAAGGACGAAAAGCGGGAAGACGAGGTGTGGAGCCGGAGCATGGGGGACCGGAGGTGTAGGGGGAGGAGAAGAGGTAGGAAATAGGCCTGATCACAGCCAGTTTTACAGGCCCGGGCCAGAGTTTGGGTTTCATTCCAGGTGCCATGATTGGATTGAATCTGACTGCTAGGTGGTGTCAAAAAAAGACAGGAACAAAATAGGAAAGCAGAGAAGCCAGTTCGGAGGCCGCTGACTTAGTCGGAGTGAAGACGATAAAGGCCCGGACCTGCAGGCTAACTGGGGAGAAGAGGAGAAGGGGCCGGTGTGGGACACATCTGAGAGAAAGACCTACAAGGGCTTGCTGATGAACTGGATTCCAGAATCCTTCAAGTCGAAGGCCCAACAGCTTGTGGACATAGCCACCTGGCTGGTGAGGCATTATCAGCTGAACACGTGTAATAACAAACTCATTACAGCAGCCACCCACCTGTCTGTCCACCTCCAGCTGTTCTCTCTCTTAGCTCAAGGCTCCGCCCAGACACCTGGACGCCGTCCTTGATTTCTTCCTCTTCCTCATCCACATTAGATCCATCAGTCACAGTCAGAATTCTGCCCTCAGTATAGGTCTCAGAGGTTTCTTATTTCGTAGTTCCTGAATTGCTTTATTTTTCTCTGTCCCCACGGCCAGCTACCACTTGCTGTAAATCACTGTGTTCTCCGGTGTGACCCGTGGCAGTAGTTCCTGTTCCTTCCCCCTGCTTTCACGGTGGCCACAGCCCAAGCTATTATCCACATTGCAAGGAAAGCGACACTTTTACAGGCAAAAATCCGGTCACCCCTCGCTCAAACCCTTCAACGGCTCTCCATAACCCTGGCTCTACATTTCTCTACCTTTCAACTCAAATTGCAGGTCTTAGTTTGGTCACTTTCTTTTTTTTAAACACATTTTGATTGATTTCAGAGAGGAATGGAGAGGGAGAGGGAGATAGAAACATCAGTGATGAGAGAGAATCATTGATCGGCTGCCTCCTGGGGATGGAGCCGCAACTTGGGCATGTGCCCTTGACCAGAATTGAACCTGGGACCCTTCCATCCGCAGGCCAACGCTCTATCCACGGAGCCAAACCGGTTTGGTGACATTCTGCACCACACACATCCATGTCTCATAGTCTCATACTGCCTCCTCCATTCTTTCCTGGTCTGCTCTATTTGCCTTCCGATTGATTCTGCTTGTGGCTGCTCCAAACGTTAGAGAGGATGCATGTAAAGTTCCTGGCATGTACGAGGCGACACATATGCTTATATATGTAACTCAGTACTAACATCACAAGGTAGCGCGTATTGTTCCCATTCTACAGGCTCAGAAAATTTAACATAGCAAAAGGTCACGTAGCCAATAACTGGCAGAATCATGTTTTAATTCTAAGTCTTTTATTTCACAATCTGTGTGCTTTTCACTAAGGCACTTGTAACGAAATGAGAAGTGCTAAGCATCTTGGGAAAAAATAAACAAAAATTTTTTTAAAAATAGCACAGGAAAATGGGATCTGGGAGGACAGATAAAAATTAAGCATCTGATGCCGAAACAGGTTTGGCTCAGTGGATAGAGTGTCCAACTGAAGGGTCCCAGGTTTGATTCCGGTCAAGGGCATGTACCTTGGTTGTGGGCGCATCCCCAGTGGGGGGTGTGCAAGAGGCGGCTGATCGATGTTTCTCTCTCATCGATGTTTCCAACTTTCTGTCCCTCTCCCTTCCTCTCTGTAAAAAATCAATAAAATATATTTTTTTTAAAAAAGAAGAAAGAAAGAAAGAAAGAAAGAAAGAAAGAAAGAAAGAAAGAAAGAAAAAACAGACAAGAGAAAAAATCTGGGTGTGGGTGGGACACTGTCCTCTCTGATGGAGAGACAGCACCACAGCGTGTAAGCCAAGTCTGCACTGAGGGCTCTGCACTGGAGGGTCTGCACTGAGGGGTCTGCACTGGGCGGTCTGCACTGGGGGGTCTGCACTGAGGGGTCTGCACTGAGGGGTCTGCACTGGGGGGTCTGCACTGGGGGGTCTGCACTGAGGGGTCTGCACTGAGGGCTCTGCACTGAGGGGTCTGCACTGAGGGGTCTGCACTGAGGGGTCTGCACTGGGGGGTCTGCACTGGGCGGTCTGCACTGGGGGGTCTGCACTGAGGGCTCTGCACTGGGGGGTCTGCACTGAGGGGTCCGCACTGGGGGGTCTGCACTGGGCGGTCTACACTGGGGATTCTGCACTGGGGGGTCTACACTGAGGGGTCTGCACTGAGGGGTCTGCACTGGGGGGTCTGCACTGCGGGTCTGCACTGGGGGGTCTGCACTGAGGGGTCTGCACTGGGGGGTCTGCACTGGGGGGTGTGCACTGGGCGGTCTGCAGTCGATGTGGCTGATGTCCCCTTCTGAGACAGCCCGGGAGGCCGGGAAGGAGCCCGCAGCTCCTGCTGTGGGCGAGCCTCTGGGCCACGGGCAAGGTGAGCCACATTTTATCTGGGTAGCAGCCTGGTGGTGGTGTTGTTCTTGGCCTGGTGTTTCTCAGCAGGGGTGCCAGGCGTGGAGGTGGCCGACTCACAGGAAGTACACTGCCGGTGGCTGAGAGGCAGCACAGGTCAGAGCTCAGAACTCTCAAAACAGAAGGCCCAGGCTTCGATGCTGGCGCTGGCAGTGACCAGCTGCGTGAACTTGCACAGCTTACTGAACCTCTCTGAGCTTCATCAGCTTCGTCTGTGAAACAGGGTTAATAATGCCATCCAGCACAGAGGGTTGTGAGGACTGAATGAGTTAGTCCAGGTGAAGTGGCTGGTACATTAGAAGCCTTCTTAAAAAATAAATAAATAAAATAAAATAAATAATATATATATATATATATATATTATTGATTTTTTTACAGAGAGGAAGAGAGAGGGTTAGAGAGTTAGTTGCTCTATCCACTGTTGCTCTATCCACTGAGCCAAATCGGCCAGAGCAGCAATCTATTTCTTTCTTTTTTTTAATTTTTAAAAAAATATATTTTATTGATTTTTTTACAGAGAAGAAAGGAGAGGGATTAACAGTAAGAAACATCGATGAGAGAGAAACATTGATCAGCTGCCTCTTGCACACCCACCACTGGGGATGTGCCCACAATCAAAGCACATGCTCTTGAGCAGAATCGAACCTGGGACCCTTCAGTCCGTAGGCTGACGCTCTATCCACTGCGCCAAACCAGTTTCGGCAGCAATCTATTTCTTGATGGTAGGCTTTCCAGGCCATGGGATTATGGGAATGGTTATGAGACGTTGAAAGTGATGATACTTCTAAAACTCCTCAGTAAACTTCCTTTATTGGAACTGAATTAAGTTATATCCATCCTCAAAGTAAGAATGGTCTAAATAATTGAGGCCTGGGATCCCGAAGTGGTCATTGGGAGGGGGTTGGGTTTATCAGGTTGGAGCACAGCTGTCATCAGTTTCTCAGCCATTTGTCTGCTCTCCAATGAGAAAGGGAGTAATTGATGTTGGGCATGATCCAATCATTGCCCAGTTAGTAATTCAACTGGGTGATCTGGTTGAACGAGCAAGATATATGAAGCACTTATGAACTTGGAAAATGCCGCAGAAAAGGAT